ACTCCGAGTGTGGATCTCTCCATATTGCCACAGACGAAACATATATATATTTATTATTATTTATTTTTTTTGAGAACTACATTTCACTTGATCTCACTCCAGACTTTCAGACTAAGCTCATTTTGTGTTGAGAAATGAAAGTTGAAGCCGTTTTGGTCAAACATTGTAAATAGTTATGCTTCGTCTCAGGCAATATTGCGAGATCCACACTCGGAGTATGTGTTATGATGGATTCGGCTGCCACCGTACCAAACTTTTGAACAAAACTTGTAAAATTAACTAAATTATAGTAACATTTGTGGGGATTTAGGACCAGCTGGCTGTAGAAGCTATCTTGGGTTGGCTCAAAAGGTTAATTAGTTGTACATCCAGTAATTACTTTTTGAGAGAGTGATTTAAAATTGTCCAGTGGCTCATGAGATATTTTGCTTACAGACACAGACACGCACAGAGATATGGGCAAAAGCATAATTGATGGCGAAAAATATCTTACTTACTCAAAAGGAGCCACACTCGACAGCAAGACTTTTAACCAGTATTTTACTTGCAGGACAGGTCACACAGAAATACAGGAAGTACACACATACACACACCTAGTTGCAAGAATCTGCCACGAGCAATGTGTGAAGCTTTTATACCCTTATCAGTTCAGCCAATTCTGTTGTTTTATTAAGAAGGCAAGAATGCTAGCAGGATAACATCTCTTGGTCTGTTCGATAAAGAGCGATAAAATGATCTCAACAGAAAGGTTTTGCAGACAGCTGTTATTGAACAAAGTATGGCAAACTTGATGAAAACAATAATATACTTGTTTTATGTGATGTCTTACTAAAATGCTGTTAATTTTTTTTATGGCGAGTTAAAAACGTTACTTAATGAGTGCTAAGTATTGTAGTTCAGGGAATTAAAAGCTCAAATGTTATGTTCTGGTTAATGTTCATCTCTGCTTGTAGCAGGACAAGCAATATTTTACCAAAAACATTTGTCGTTTAAACCGATACAATAAAAAAATGGAACCACTGTATCTTTAAAACCTCAGATGCTACAGATGTTAAAGTAAACTTGAATTTAATTTAATAAATCTATTCATCAAATGAGTGATGGGGGAGAGGGAGTGGTGGTGCAGAGGTTAGAGAAGGTGGGTCTGTGATCAGAAGGTCGTCGGTTCAACTCCTCGAACCGATATCAGAATGTGGGTGGGAAAGATGAAACGCTCACACCTGCCTCCACCCTCATTTGCCCCACTCTAGGCCCTTGAGCAAGGCCCTTAACCCCTGACCATCTGCTCCCCCTGGGCACCCTAGATAGCAGCTCTCAGCTCCACAAAGGGCTGTGGTAGCTCGGTGGTCTGTGGTTGAAGGGTATCCGGTGTAAAAACAACTGCCAAGTCTTCGTGTGAGTTAGTTTGCTGTAGTGACCCCTGAAGAAGAACCGAAAGAAGAAGAAGAAGAAAAAAAAAAAACATCTTTTCATCAAGTCTAGTCAATGTTTTGTTCTGAGGTGTGACAGCCAACACATTAGAAATGTAAAACTTTCCAGCCAGTTTACATAGAATTTAATAGATATTTTTTAACATGTTTTCACAACAGCCAAGCTGAGAGGAATTTTTAAAGGCAGTACAAATTTATCTGATTTATTGTGGCCATAATTGCATTCAAATGTATGTTCAACACAAATATAAAGGATTATTAAAAACCCCTTCACTAAATATTGCATCATACCCCACAGAAACATATTTTTTATGCTACAAAACCTATTGAAACAATACTTGATGATCAATAGAATCTTTAGCATTTCATGTAGTATAATATTATGGTTTGATATTTTTTAATGTTTTTAGAATTTGTTAGTTAGAATTTAAGTTTTTACTGCCATCTTGTGGACATGTTTAGAAACTACAATTCCAAATGTTCAACTTGAGACAAATCGACATTAGCATGCTAAATTAACCTTGTTCTTTTTTTTCTTAAGAAAATAGAAATCAACGTTATCGCAATTTATAAAATGCAAAAATAAGCAGTCGCGATGTTTTTTTAAAGCCACAGTACAAATATTTATACTAATGCATGAATGCAGTCATTGATAATTCTCGAGAATCGCCCCAATCACTGCCCTCTGGCGGTCACTGTGCAGAACTGCACATTTTAATTAGCAAAGTTAGGATTTTCCGTTTACTTTCAAAATAAAACAGTTACATTAAATCTTTTGTCTTCTTAAAAATGCCAAGGCGTTTATTTGAATGCCTTGGCATTTATTAAAATAATTATATAATTAAATATCAGAGAGTCAGTTTCTTTATTGTCATTCGCACCAAGTGTGGTACATGTGGTGGAACGAAATTGTGTAGACAGGGTCCCAGTTAGATCCAACATCCATCCATCCATTATCTTTACCCGTTTATTCCATTTTGGGTCACGGGGGTCGCTGGTGCCCATGTCCAGCAATCACTGTGCGAGGGGCGGGGTACACCCTGGACGGGTCGCAAGTCCATCACAGGGCCACATAGAGACAAACGAGACAAACAACCATTCACTCTCTCACTCACACCTAGGGACAATTTAGAGTTACCAATCAGCCTAACATGCATGTTTTTGGTCTGTGGGAGGAAACCGGAGCACCCGGAGAAAACCCACGCATGCACGGAGAGAACATGCAAACTCCACCCAGAAAGGCCCCTGGACCAGGGTTTGAACCAAGGACCTTCTCGCTGAGAGGCAGCAGCTCTACCAGTTGCGCCACCGTGCTGCCCGTTAGATCCAACAATAAAATGTAAAAGAAAAACGATAAAATCTACGATATGAACTAAGAAAAACATCAACAAAAGTACGCTCAGCACTAATGGCATAAAAACAGCAGCACAAACTATATATATATATATATATATATATATATATATATATATATATATATGCGCATGGGCTTTTTTTTTTTAGACAAAAGATTTAACGTAACTGTTTTATTTTGAAAGCAACAAACGGAGAAGTCTAAATCTCTACGCTAACTTTAGAAATTAAAAGTTGCAGTTCTGAAGAGTGACCGCCAGAGGGCAGTGATTGATGGCAATTCTCGGGAATTATTAATGACTGAAGTTAGTAAAACACGCATTAGTGTAAATATTTGTACTGTAATTTTAAAAATATCGCTATAGCTAATTTTTGCTTTTTCTAATTTACGAAAACGTTGATTCCTACCTTTAAAAAAAACAAGGTTAATTTAGCATGTTAACGTCGATATTTCTCATAAAACTTTGAGTTGTAGCTCCTAAACATGTCCACAAGATGGCAGTAAAAGCCTAAATGTAATAAATTCTAAAAACGTCCTGATGCCTGTTCAGTAATCCAGGTAGAAAAATCTAAAACTTTTTGTTAGAAATTCTAAAAACATTTAAAAATATACTATAATACTATATAACATCAAATGCTAAAGATCCTATTGATTAAGTATTGTTTCAATAGCTTCTGTAGCATGAAAAACATGTTGCTCTGGGTTCACGATGGTCAATAAATCCAAAACATGATTTATAGTCTGCAAGAAAACTTATTATAAAATCTTTGAAATTGCTAGATTTTTTAAATATATATATATATATTGTTATAAAAGTTGAAATATGTAATTTAAGACGTTGTTAATCGAAACGTTAATTTGACAGATTTGGCGTAGTTCTCCGTTGTGACCGCCAGGAGGCAGTAGTCGCTGGTTTTTACCGGAAATTCAGAAAATGGCAAGTTTGTACCATATAAAGTTGAAAGCAACGCAGGAAACTAATAGATCATTGAAGCATTTTAAAATGTCTTTTCCCCCCAGTTTAAATACTTTCAGTGAGCAAGTCTTGTGCTAAAATGCCAACTTGAGTGTGTTTAAACGATCTCACGAGGAAAACATTCACACTGGCAGCTGTTGATGTAAAAATGCCAGCTATTGCAGTTCCTCAATTTGACCGCCAGGGGGTAATAAACGTTCATGAGTAATTAACTGTCAAACTATTTCAGATAAACATTTCTTAATACACCAAGTTTTTAACAAAAGTTGTACTGTTTTCTCTCAATGGCAGATCTAGAATAGCAAAGTTATAGCAAACTTTGCTATCGTTTTCTGGGGTTAAAAGAAACAATTCAGACACAAATATCAGCACTTTTATTTTTGACCATTTTTTTCTCCTCAGGTTTTGTTCCCATAGATCTTGATGAATGGTGGGCCCAGCGCTTCTTGGCCAACATAGACAAACTCTCCTGACATGTAAGACTATTTAATGCACCACACCAGTCAGGTGAGACTTTAAGGATGGCTCACGAAGGGAAACGTGCGCTGTGGAGTCGACGGCTTGTGCCAGCCTGATGTGGTTCAGATGGACTGACAGTACTGGGCTGCTGAAACTGCAGCAGAGGACAACTTGGACTCATCTCCTCCTGCGCTTCACGCAGACTGCAGTTAAAGGATGATTTGTTGAAGCTTGGGTTTCTTATGTTTTGATTCTTACAACAAAGAAACTTTGAAAAAAATCATTTTACAAGTTTTTTTAATTAAAGTCACTGTTAATAGTATCCAGGTTGGAGTATTCTAGTCGTTTGTTAATTTAAAAAACAAAATATGGCCCTTTTTATTAGCAGTTAGAATTTCTTCCATTTTCTCCTGATGTTTATAGATGAGTTTGGATTGGCTGGACCTTTTGAAGAACACCAGTTTCCTGTAGCTGCTTTACATAATGTGACACTTTGAGCTAGATTTATTTTACCTGTAATTAAGTGTAAAAAGTTATCGACCAACCAAAGTAGGATGGGAATGTGAAAGTCACTGAAATAAGCACAACTACCGGCAGCCATCTTAAAACTACAAACGCACCTGAAAGACAAACTGTGTGGACGGAGGAGCTTCCAGCAGCTCATTTTCATTCCATTTTTTTACTGTTTTAGTTCAATGTGTGCAGTAAATCAGCAGAAATGAAGCGCTCCATGAGGTGTGAAGGGTCGTAGTTTTTCTTTAGAAGCACTTCACTGCCTGTTTCAGTCTTTAAATTCTCATTTCTGATAAACTGCAGGAAACCGTCAGTGGTTCTCCAAAGCTTTAGTCAGGAGCTCATTGAGGCGGGAAATCATCGGTCGTGGATCATCATTCAAGCCTGCCGTGATCATGGCATTGTCATAAATCTGAAAAGTAAAAAAAAAAGGAAACATGAGTACTGGTAGAAATACTTTTACATCGTGTTGCTTCCTTCCTGCATATATTTCAACTTAAAAGCAGAAGCTGGGGGGAAACTTCTTTTTAAGGAACAAATCTTAGCTGAACACCCATATTGGATTCTCTCACACACAAATCTGTAAATGAGGTACCTGATCCAGTAACAGTCCAGCCAGTTCAGAGTTTGTGTCCTTCAGCTCGTACAACTTCTTGACCAGATTGTGTCTGCGAGATAAATCATTTAAAATAAACAGTTTGAAAACATTTTGTCCTCTGAACACATTTAGTGAAACCTCTCTCACCCTGCGTTGATCTCTAGCGTGGGCTGCAGGATCTGAGCTCTCTCCTCGGCGGAGCGCGCCAGCTGCTGAGTGCGGAGGAAGTGGCGTGCAGCGCCCATTTCCAGCACGGTAATCATGGCAGGGTGGGTGTCCAAACGAGGTGTAAGCTGAGGGTCAAGTGTGTGCAAAGCGTACGCTTTAAGGTCAAGTTAAAAAATGAGAAAATGAGGTTTTAAATACCAACAGTGAAGAACTAATGTGCTCAGGAAAACTATTAACAGCACAAAATATAAACGGGGTTGAAAATAAACTAAAAACCTACGAGCACTTGAGCTTTCTGCTGCCTTCAGCTAGCTCACAACTAAAGAATACATCTGTCCAGCCACAATTTACAAACGTCTACACTGCTCTCTGATGCAAACGGATACAAGAGCCTTTGAGCTTTTATTTGACACGAGTTCAATCTTTCAAACCCCCTGCACAAACATCTGTCTCCCTGTTACCTTTACGTTGGTGACTCTTGGACCTAAAGTGTTCTTCATCCAGGCCATCAGGTCATCGGCCTGCTCCTGCGTCAGCCGCTCCGACTCTGCAGCAGAGAAAAGTTCAGACTGCAGCTCCGACAGAGGTCTCTGTCCTGCTGAAAGTCTAAGTGAAGGAGGCGCACACCTGGCTTGGAGTCCTCAAACTTCTCCTCCTTGTAGTGATCCACCACGATGTCCGTCTCGACCGAGATCAGCTTCTTCTTGTCGAACTCCCTGAGGTGGAGCAGGGTGAGCTCGTCAAACTGCTCGTAGCAGAACAGGACCTGAACAAACCCAGAGGGTCACATGTCACACCCAAACCCCTTCAACATTTAAAAAACCTAAACATAGATGCTTGTCTTCCCCCCCCCCCAGTAAAAACAAAAATATCTTTAAAACAAATTTAACTGCCTGGTGTCTTCCTCTGATCTGCAACTAGATGATCCACTACCTCCATGTCTTTCTTCTTCATGGCCTCGTAGTAGGGGGAGTGCTCTGCTAGGTGTCGGTTGGGGGCGCACAGGTAGTAGATGTTTCGCGTGCCGGCCTTCATGCGAGAGGCGTACTCGATCAGATTTGTCTGCTGGCCGGCTGGCAAAGCCGACGACTCGAACCTCAACAGCTTTCCAATGTCCTCCTACCGAGCAGGAAGGGAGAGCGATGCTGTAAAAACGCAGGGAGGCACGATGCATCCCAACAACGTTCCACTCTGAAACATCAGTCGGCACCTTTACATCCTGTTCCTGGACGGTGATTATACCCTCCCTGATGAAGAGGCCGTAATCATCAAAGAACTTGCCGTACTTCTCAGGCTCCTTCCTGCTCTGGTCCAGCAGGAAGCGAATCACTCTCTGCTGCAAAACGTCCCGAAGCTTCCTGAACAGAGAAGATCAGAAAAATTTGACGTAAACAATTTAAGTTGACGTTCAGCCATTTCGTTATGGTGCTAAATGTTCATTAATACAGGAACTAATTGTAGGTGACATCTTAGTGTGGATACACAAACATCTTATTGTGTCATTGCTGTGCATTTTTCAGATTATAGGAGGGATTATGGCCCAGATATACATGTCATGCTGTATTACAGCTGAACGTAAATCCAAGAGTCCAGAAGCAGACAAATCAGAAAAGACCAAGATTATCAATCAGACCTTAAAACTCAAGAGCTGGAAACATTTCAGAATAGAAGGGCTGTTATTAAACAAACTATTACTACAAAATAAATGGCAATTTTTTTTTTAAATGAAGATTTAAAAGAGATAAAGCCGAGACAAAAAAAATAAACAAAATAAACAAATGACAGAGCAAGTGATGTACCTGATGAGGGCGCTTTCTTGTAACAGTTCTCTGCTCAGGTTCAGAGGAATATCTTCACTGTCCACAACACCTACATCCACAAAAAAGATCAACCTTAGAACGTTTTCTGGATTTTAAATTAAAGCAGAATAAAATGGACAGCAGGTAGGAGGATGAAGATTAAAACAGGCAGCAGGCAGGAAGATGCAGATTAAAACAGGCAG